ACAGCTTACATATATGCCAGATCGGCGATCAACAACTTATATATATGCCAGATCAGTGGTCAACAGCTTATATTTATCCTAGATCAACTATCAATAGCTTATATATATATGAGATCAGCTATAATTAGTTTATATATAGTGTCAATTAGTTGTTATCAGCTTACATAATCTTGCATAATCTTGCATAATTATATATAAGCACATATAAGAGGATTTAAACATATATAAAAATATAAAAAATAAAGTTTGTGTAACATATGTCATTATGCATATTCGCGTAATGTAAACAATACAATTGCATTGCTGAAAAAAATTAGTAACTTTTGCCTATACTTGTTATATCATGTGCATAATCATGCATAATCTCGCATAAATGATCTACATAAACAATACCATTGAATTCGTGGGAAAAAATGACAAAAAATAGCTTTTTTCGCAAAAAAATTCCTTTTTTGGTTAGTCTGAATGCACCTAGCGTGAGAAGTCTTGGCATTTTTAGTGTGGGAAGATAGGTTATATAAATAGCAACTATGTAAAAGCTTGGCATGGAAAAACATTTAATTTTAAACTATCAAAAAGCCGTTCCGACAATAATTAAATATATCTCTTCTAATGAAAGTTCAAATTCTTACTAAGTAATAATTTTTTAATTTTTTTTGCTATATAAAGAAAATTTAGTAGTATAATATAAAAGTGTCAAAATATGTAAACAGCAAGTACAGAATTAATAAAAATTAATTTTCATATTTTTTTACTAATTTTCTTATAAAAATCAAAATATTATTATATAAATCAATAAAAAAATATATGAACAAATCAACTTATTAATATTTATTATAATTTTGATATATTTATATATTATATATATACATTTAACGATTATAAAAGAGTTGTGAATATATATAACATTAAAGATTAAATATAATTAGAGTATGTAACTTATATTTGACCGAGATGATTAGATATGACTTGGATATGGACAAGTGTGAATATATATAATGTGATAGATCCAATGCTATTGACTAATATCAGAGATAGATAAGATGTTATAGGCTAATATTAGTGATAAATCAAATGTTATTAGCTAATATTGATTATATATTATATTTTATTAATTTATATAAGTAGTAAATTAGATGTGATAAATATATATACATAATACAGATTGACTGTTATTGATTTACATATATATCAGATCAGATATCATTTATTTATATATATACTAGATCGGCAGTATTCAGCTTATATATGTATAAGATTAACTGTTATCCACTTATATATATATCAGATTGGATATCATATGTTTATATATAGTGCAGATCACCTGTTATCAACTTATATATATACCTAATGGATGGGCAACAACTTATATATATACTAGATTGGTAGTTAACAGCTTATATATATACTAGATTGACTAATATCAGCTTATATATGTATGAGATAGGCTGTTAATAGTTTATATATATATAGCTGATTGGCGGTCAACAATTTATATATATACTAGATCAGCTATCATCAGCTTATATATATATCAGATTGAGTATCATATGTTTATATATAGTTTGGATCACCTGTTATCAACTTATATATATACCCAATTGGCGGTCAACAACTTATATATATATCAGATCAACTATCATCAGCTTATATATATACTTGATTAGTGGTTAACAACTTATATATATACCAGATTGACTGTTATCCACTTATACATATATAAAATTGATTGTTATCTACTTGTATATATATGAGATTAACTGTAATTAGATTATATATATATCAGATTGACAATCATCTGTTTATATATATATGAGATTGGCGATCATCTACTTATATATATATGAAATCAGTAATTATTAGCTTATATATATACCAGATTAATACTTATTAGCTTATATATATATATCAGATTGGCTGTCATCCACTTATATATATAGCAGATCAGCTGTCATCCATTTATATATATAGCAGACCAACTGTCATCCACTTATATATATAGCAGACCGGCTGTCATCCACTTATATATATATCAGACCGGCTGTCATCCACTTATATATATAGCAGATCAGCTGTCATCCACATATATATATAGCAGATCAGCTATAATCAGCTTATATATATATAGCAGATCAGCTGTCATCCACTTATATATATATCAGACCGGCTGTCATCCACTTATATATATATCAGACCGGCTGTCATCCACTTATATATATAGCAGATCAGCTGTCATCCACTTATATATATAGCAGATCAGCTGTCATCCATTTATATATATACCAGATCAGCTGTCATCCACTTATATATATAGCAGATCAGCTGTCATCCACATATATATATAGCAGATCAGCTATAATCAGCTTATATATATATCAGATTGGCTGTCATCCACTTATATATATAGCAGATCAGCTGTCATCCATTTATATATATACCAGATCAGCTGTCATCCACTTATATATATACCAGATTGGTGGTCAATAGCTTATATATATATTAAATTAGTGGTTATTAGCTTATATATATATTAGATCAGCTGTCAATAGCTTATATATATGCTAGATTGGCAGTTAACAGCTTATATATATGTCAGATCGGTGATCAACAGCTTATATATATGCCAGATCGGCAATCAACAGCTTATATATATGCCAGATTGGTAGTCAACAGCTTACATATATGCCAGATCGGCGATCAACAACTTATATATATGCCAGATCAGTGGTCAACAGCTTATATTTATCCTAGATCAACTATCAATAGCTTATATATATATGAGATCAGCTATAATTAGTTTATATATAGTGTCAATTAGTTGTTATCAGCTTACATAATCTTGCATAATCTTGCATAATTATATATAAGCACATATAAGAGGATTTAAACATATATAAAAATATAAAAAATAAAGTTTGTGTAACATATGTCATTATGCATATTCGCGTAATGTAAACAATACAATTGCATTGCTGAAAAAAATTAGTAACTTTTGCCTATACTTGTTATATCATGTGCATAATCATGCATAATCTCGCATAAATGATCTACATAAACAATACCATTGAATTCGTGGGAAAAAATGACAAAAAATAGCTTTTTTCGCAAAAAAATTCCTTTTTTGGTTAGTCTGAATGCACCTAGCGTGAGAAGTCTTGGCATTTTTAGTGTGGGAAGATAGGTTATATAAATAGCAACTATGTAAAAGCTTGGCATGGAAAAACATTTAATTTTAAACTATCAAAAAGCCGTTCCGACAATAATTAAATATATCTCTTCTAATGAAAGTTCAAATTCTTACTAAGTAATAATTTTTTAATTTTTTTTGCTATATAAAGAAAATTTAGTAGTATAATATAAAAGTGTCAAAATATGTAAACAGCAAGTACAGAATTAATAAAAATTAATTTTCATATTTTTTTACTAATTTTCTTATAAAAATCAAAATAGTATTATATAAATCAATAAAAAATATATAAACATGTCAACTTATTAATACTCATTATATTTTTGATATATATATATTATATATATAGAAAGAGTATAAAAGAGCTGTGAATATATATAAAATTAAAGATTAAATATGATTAGGGTATATAACTTGTATTTAAGGAGATAAGCAGATATAACTTGAATATTGATAAGTATGAATATATATAATGTGATAGGTCTAATACTATTGACTAATATCAGAGATAGATAAGATGTTGTAGACTAATATTGTTGATATATTATATTTTATTAACTTATATAAGTAGTTAATTGGATATGATAAATTTATATATAGTACAGATTGGCTGTTATTAATCAACATACATATCAGATTCACTATCATCAGTCTGTATATATTAGATCTATTATCATGTATTTATATATATATGAGATTAATTATTATCTACTTATATATATCTGATTAGTTGTTATTCATTTATACATATATCGGATTGAGTATCATCTCTTTATATATAATATCAATCACCTGTTATCAGCTTATATATATATCAGATTAGCTATAACTGACTTATATATATATATATATGAGATTGACTGTGATTAGATTATACTTATACTAGATCAGCTGTTAATAGTTTATATATATATCAGATTGGTGATCATCGACTTAAATATACACCAGATTGACTGTCATTGACTTATATATATACTCAATTGACTGTTATTAGCTTATATATATATCAGATTGGCGGTTGTTGACTTATATATATGTCAGATTGGTGGTTATCACTGGAAAAATTAAAAAAATAAGATAGTTTAAATATGGGGTATAGTGTAGTGTAATTTCCTTATTTAAATTAGTTGATTTTTTTTCCACTTGTGCTGAAGGTGACCTTTACATAGTGGAATGACTAGAGTCAACCAGTGGAATTGTGGGTGGGGGTGCCGCAGGTAAGGTTTGTTAGCACTTTAGATATACTTATCTGACTTGATATATAAAAAGAAAGTTTTTTAAAACTACGTATCTACTGGTTTTATCTATTCAATTGGCACTCATTTCCATCTAATTAGCATCGGTTTCCATCTAATTAGAACTCATTGATATCTGATTGGCTTCCATAGAAATTGAATTTGCATCCATTGCCAACTGAATTTGCTCCCATTGCCATCTGAATTTGCTCCCCCCTTTTACTATTGGCGGAAGGGTACATGGCACTCAAATTTTTTATCCTTACGCCTTACAATTTTTTTTATATAACCGTAGTATTTTTTTTTGTAAACGTCGTATTTTTTTGGCATAAAACATGGATATTTTTATTAGGCATAATTAGTTGATAGAGAAATAGAACACATAATAAGAAGTAAGATATAATGAAATAGAAAGTAATAAAAAAAGAAAAGCATAAAGCAGTAAAACAAATAAAAAAAAAGAGGGACATAAAGTGGTAAAAAAAATAAGAAAAAGAGGGACATAAAGTAGTAAAAAATCAAAATAAAATAAAAAAGACATAGAGTGTAAAGAGCTTAAATAGACATAAAAGACATACTTAAAGCTTTTGCTCTCTGTTCAAACAGCGAGGAAAGAATGAAATGGCATGGTTAATCCAACCCAAACAGTCTAAAAGGGTGACAGTCTTAGCTGATTCTGTAATTTTTAAGATGAGCCCGTCTGACTCTGTAATCTCTTCTCTGCAGACACCAAACATGATTTTGGACCACATTTCCTCAATTGGATTCAGGAAAAGTGAATACACAGGAAGATATGCACACTTGTACCCAAGAGAAGAAATAAAGTCTTTCACCTTATTGGCCTTATGGATAGGAGCATTATCCATGATGAGATAACATTCTTGCATACCCTGGCTGTCCAGAACGTCCATTGTATGACTAAGAAAGTCGAGATAGTGTTGGGTCCTGGTACCAATTCTGCCATTCACCTCAACGTTGGTGTAGATGTCCAACTTTCTCTTCTTCTTAGTTGTGACTGCAGTAGGTTTCTTCAACAAGAGGCTAACAATCCCTCTCTCGCACATTGCACCAAGGATAGTGATGGACACACCTCTCTGCGTCCAGACAGTTGTCTTGGCCGTAGTGCCACTGACAGAATGGCCAAAAGTTCTCTTAATGTGTATGTTGAAGCCTGCTTCATCGATGAACACACAGTTCGACAGATAGTTGAAATCCGCAAGTTGTTGTCACTCCAAAATGCAGTCTCGTCTCATCTCAATTGTGCTGACGTCATCTCTCTTCTTGGGCAGCTTCTCCAACTTCTTCAACGTCAGGGCACACTTCTTCACCAAGTGCTTCTGGATTGCTGATGTGGTAATCTGCAGCCCAGAGAACTCTTCCATGACAGCTATCCTTGCTTGTTCCAAGGTAGCATCTGGTTTATTTTCGAAAAACTTCAAAAAAAATCAGAGTGCGCCTGGAACAACTTTTGGTTGCCATGTTTTTGGTCTTTAGGCGCAGAAACCTCCTCAACCTCCATCATCTCCAGCCCATTGGACTCATCAGTCTCCACCGTGGCAGCATCAAAATCGGTGTGGATCTTCTCTCTGGCCAGCCTGACATAGTTCTGGGCAGTCCGGACATTGATGCCCATTTCCCTGGCAGCAGCAGCAGCAGTCTGGTTTTCCAAGAAAACCAAGAAGAAGAGCTTGTTCACCTGGTTTTGGTTGTACTTTTGGTATGAACCTCGACCTAAGCTTTCTGCTGTGGGAACAGAATCAGAGTCGACCTTCTCCGGCAGATTCGTCTTCAGCTTCTGTGCAACAATTGTCTTGGTTGTGGACTTGTTGACTTTGGTTGGCAGGAAACTTTTGAGACTTAAGAGGTTCGTGACTGCTGGGTTTCCGGCCAAGGTACAGGTCCATTCCATATCATCATGGTTGGCAAAGACATCTGTCACAGATCAGAGTACAACTTCTTTATGCATTTCATCGACAATCTCTTGGTTGAAATCGTGTAAGGGGTCGAAAGCAATTCCAGAAAACTGGGTTTGGTCTGCAGAACCGCTGTGACTGACCATTTCACAGTGCTTGTCCATAACAAATTTGAGGGAGTTATTAGAAGTAGGCATTTTTTTTGAAAATAAAAAGGGTGTTAAAATCGAGAAATAAAGATAACTGAGAAACTTTTATTAAGACACTGGGGTATATATACCAAAAAAATATTTTAATAACTTAAACGTTTCTACCAAGGTATAGTCTTGTCTTGTTGTCTTAATATATTTGGATAAAAAACGTGTTGAAGAATAATGAATGTTTACATATTAAGCTTCTTCACACTTTTAAGATCATTTATTTTATTAGCCGATTTACAGTGCTACCAGAGCCTTTATGGTGTCCTGTCCTCTGTCTTGAAGGAAGGGGTAGGATTTCTCCTCATGAGTTTGCCCAACCAAAAAAAAAAAATAGAAAAAAAAAAGTTTTTTTTTGTATAGAGCCAAGGAAAAGCTCGAAATTCAGTTATTGAGATTTTCAGTTTTTCAGAAATTTCTGCGGTTAGATACCATTTTATTTTCAGTTTTTCAGTTTTTCAGAAATTTCTTGCAGTAAGATATCATTTTATTTTCAGTTATTGAGACTTTCAGTTTTTCAGAAATTATTTGCAAAAAAATGGTTATGTATATTATAAAAATTTATGAATAAAAATGCTAGTTATACTATTTAGAGAATTATTTTTAAAATTGCTATTACATTTTTCTTTTTTTTATTTATTTTTTTTTATTTTTTCATCTCTTTTTTTTTCATCTCTTTTTTTTATTTCTTTTTTTTTATTTTTTCATCTCTTTTTTTTTCATCTCTTTTTTTATTTCTTTTTTTTTGTCATGAGCTTGTGCTATTTTTTGTTACTGTTTTTGTGTGTGTAATATTTGATTTTTTTTGGTATTTTGTATCATGAGGGTTTCCAAAATTGAGATCGGATAGTATTGTGGGCAAAGCATAATTCTTGGACTGCTTTCAGTTGTTTAACAGATTGTTGGACATTTACTTGTTTCGAGTGCAGATTACAAAGAGTTGTTGAGTTTGATATTAAGAAGATCAGGATTCTGACGTTGTAAAATGGTTGGAGCAGGTGCTGAATAAATATAGCATTTTTGGATTCTTTTTGTAATGGTATTAGATGCTTGTGTAGGACCAGGTTCATAAGAAATACAATTGCTGTGGTAGTCAATCAGATTACTGGATATTTGAGATAAAAATTGGCAAGTTTTTGTGTGGTTGGTAGAGTGAATTCTACAGTTTGGTTTCGAAAAAGTATGGTCAGTGAAATGCACTTAAAAGCATTATGAATATGTGTAGACTGGTTCCTATCATACAGCTAGATGTTTGATCTTGTAGTTTCTTTGTAGGTGGAGGGTTGAATCGTCACGTTTTCTTTTCAGATTTATAGCTTTTGTTCAAAATACTATAGATTATTTAGAGATTAATATCAATGACTCTAAGGTATAGGCTTTATTTACATACAGAAACATAATGTGATCTGGAAATAATAAAAAAATCCATGAGATGTAGAGCTTTAAGCAGTATTTTCATTGTCAGAGTAATATTTAGTTGTTGAAGTGAGCATGAGAATGAGATTTATTGCTGATTTAAGAAGAGAAATAAAGAATTTTGATATATAAACACCAAATGGAAAGAGAGAGAATTATGATATCTCTTTTAAAGAAGAATGTTTATAATAAATTTATAGCTGCGGGTAATGTATTGTCCTATTTATTTTTTATCTCCTTGAGTTCAATTTGTACTACTTTATTTAGTGGACCTTGGAATATTATTTTTTGATATAAAAAGCTAAAAATATAATGACTAATACTATTTAACAACAACTCAATCTTCTTTACATCTATTCTTGCTGCTTCAATTTGTGTTCTGATTTTTATCTTGCATCTTAAGTAATTACTATTTAATTATAACTGCTATGTGCTAGATATAACTATATTTATACAAAATATATCACTTTAACATATCTTCCTATTTTTTTATTTTTTCACCTTTTATTATCAGAAAACCCTACAATGTTACACGAGAAACTTGAAGAATATAACAGTGCCTTTGAAAAAGTCATGGAAGAGCTTGAAGAGCCTGAAATTCCAGAAGATCCAAAAAGTTCTGCCCCATCAACAACAGATGAAACCCGCAAAAAAAGTAGAGGGCAATATCAAAAGCCTATGGATAAATATATAAAAAAGCTTCTTTATCTCTACTTCATAAGGGGATTAACTATCGAAAAAGCCAGCAAGATAGTAAATATCAAACAAACAACTGCTGGTGGCTATATTTTGAAGTGGAGAAAGTCTCCAGTTGTTTTTTTCATTAAAAACAATAAGGAGGCTACAAGTGACAAAAAAATGAATCTTTTATTCGAAGCTTACTCTGCAATAAAGAAAGAATACAAATAATATCATTGCATTTTCAATTTTAATATAATTATTATAATGAGATACTTGCTTTATTATCTTATAACTGCAGTAAGATATTTAATGTTAACAAAGTAATCTGGAGAAAAGTTTGCATATTCTGTTAGTTCTCTCTATAGATATTTTCTATGACGTATCTTTGTAGAAAGATTTACATATATTGAAGTGCTATTACATTAGACGTTTGGCACTTAAATTAAAAAATATGGCAATTATATAAAAAAATATGATGTTTACAAAAAAAAATACTACAGTTATATAAAAAAAATATGATGTTTACAAAAAAAATACTACGGTTATATAAAAAAAATACAACATTTACAAAAAAAATTCTACAGTTATATAAAAAAAATACAACGTTTACAAAAAAAAAGTACGACGTTTACAAAAAAAATACTATAGTTATATAAAAAAAATTGTAAGGCATAAGGATAAAAATTTTGAGTGCCATGTACCCTTCTGCCAATAGTAAAAGGGGGGAGCAAATTCAGATGACAATAGGAGCAAATTCAGTTGACAATGGATGCAAATTCAATTTCTATGGAAGCTAATCAGATGTCAATGGGTTCTAATTAGATGGAAACAGATGCTAATTAGATGGAAATGGGCGCCAATTGAATGAATAAAACCAGTATTTTGATATTCTTTATATGGAACTGTAAAGGTCAGGCACCGACATATTATGAAGATTAAAAGTAGCGTAAAGGTGATCTTGAAGCTAGTTTATTGTTAAGAAGTTTGGTCATCAGTAGCAAAAAAAGGCGTCTTTAAAATTATGGACCAGTAATATGTTTTTTATTTATTTGGTTTCCCATTCTTATTAGGTTGGTAATGGTTTACGCTTTTATTTTTATTGGAAAGAATAGAATGTTTCTAGGTTTCAGATCTAATAATACTATTCTATATCTCTAGCTACTTCTTGCTCGGTCGGTTTGTTATATTTGAGATGAAAAATTTTCTACAAAAAAGAAATACCTGAAAAAAAAATGAGCTGCTCAATATGTTTTTTTTGGGGTACGAGCAGTACTCTTTGAGAATAGATAAATCGTTAGTGATGGGTGTGCGTGCGTGTTGGATATTTCAATTCTTATAAATCATTAATACTTACATTGGAATTATCGAGTACAAAGACCAAACAGTAAAATATTACAAGTAAAGCTACGGAATTTTGATTCCTTTGACTATGAAAATGATTAGAAAAAATTAATTTTTGTAAATTGAGTGATATAATTATTAATTTACATACCCAAACCAAACGGATTTATTTGTAGATATAGATATTACTTATCAAAAGTTGATATAGTATCTGATAGTTTTTTTATTAATAAACAGCATAAGTAATATAATGATACATATAATGATAGTAAAAGAACAAAAAAGTCTTACCATGTCAATGATAGCAGCATGAGATAGAAGCTTTTGATCCATAGCATGTTTTGGAGAGGGTTGTTCATCTATAGTACAAATTAGATTCAGTTTGATTAATATTAAAGAGAAATATAATAAATAAATAGATAAAAATATTATCTTGTTAGTGGTTGTGTTTAGCTGTAGAAAATATTTTTGGTGATATGTCCTATAAAAAAGAAAGGAAAAACTCAGGATACTTTTATGAGATGATGGCATGAAGTATATTTACTAACTTTGGCTAATCCGGATGGCCATTGTGAAGAGGATGCATTAGAAAGAAATGATACACAAGTGACTATGGTAGCAGAAACACTTGTTATTACTCAGCTATATTTGAAGAAATTACTAATAAAGAAAAAAAAAGAAAAAAAGCGTCTTACCAGAAACATTTGTAAGTATAAGAGTAAAAGAGAAAGAAAGAAGTAAAAAGAAAACAAAGGGCGAGTGTCTATGGCAACTAAAACAACTAATTCTTTTTAGTTATATAAAAAAAAGTACTTTAAAAAAGCAGATTAAAAAAAAAGACTAATAAAAAAATAAAAAAAATGGGTGGAGACAGCAACGAAGAGTGTGTCTATGACAACAGAATAAATAAATTTTTTTATTTTTTATAAAGAAGATTTTTTAGAAAGAACATGTCTTACACAAATAGTTTGCAAATATAATAGAAGTTGCAGAGATAGAGAAACAAAGAAAAGACCAATAGCAAATATAAAGAGCAAAAAAAAAGAGAAACAGGAACAACAACAAAAAAAGAAAAAAAAGAAAAAAGAAAAGTGCATTTGAAATAAAAAACTATACTGATTTGATCAATTGGGTTCTAAAGTAGTATGAAAGCCAATTTGCATCTCAGTGATTACAAGAAGTATTAATAGAGACTTATATATCAAAGATATGCTGAATATCTATATAAACCATATGTTTTATACAATTTGTTTACTCTTTCTCCTGCTTTCTTGCTACTTATTGCACTCATACTCAAACACACACACATCAACCCATTTTATCTCAAATAATTTAAGTATGTAAATTTGATATAATTTATTTTTAATTCAATTCAATTTGATTGTATAATAACATCAATAACAATGTAATCTAAAATTAACGGTTACATTTTTACCTTTTATTATATTCTGTAGAAAATGGCTATTCAAAGACGTCAACTTGCTCTTCATCCCATTGAGATTACAAACGAACAATTGATGGAAATTCTTTCTACTTTGAAAACTAATATGACAGCCATGGGAATCAACATGGCAGCTGATATGTCGATTATACAAGAATAAATTGGCACTGTTGAAGATACATTGCTAAACATGAATAGCAGAATTGGTGTTTTTGCCACCAGCAGCACTGAGACAATCACTGCTATTGACAGTTTAAGCAGGGCCCCCCTCGTTTCCCCTACCAATACAATAGCTAATGTTTCTCAGCCTGCCTTCAACACCTTGTCTGAGTTTAGCAAGAAGGCCTCTAATGATGTTTATGTGAGTATCAACATGTGCAAAATTTTATCGATGTATTTTCTCATATATTCTATCAGGCCCATATTCGTAATCTCATGTGGGATCCCAAGCTGAAAACAAGAAATCAAGCTGATATCCTGGCAAATGAGAGTAAGCCCAGATGGAATACAAATGTTTTCTTTTACAAGTCCCCAAACAAGGAGTTAGTGATGCGACTTCTTGAAAACTTGAAGCACAAGTTTACCCATGAGGAATTTAGAGAGGCAGACTTGAGAGCAAGACTGCACAAAAACTTCACCAGCCGAGTTTCAAAAGCATGAAAAATTGAAGAGGAAATAAAAGCAACAAACACTCATTCAAGAAGGGCAGGACGTGCCAGAGATGTAAGTGTAATCTCTAAATAAATAATTTCGAAATAATATAGTTTAGTCTTGAGAATTTTAAAAATACTAATACAAAAAACTACTATTAGAATCATATTCGCCATTTACTTGCATACACAGACAACAAAGAAGCAATTGATCTACAAATGAAGAGAGATTGTGACTTTACGATGCAAATGGCAGCAATGTCCAATGGAGAATCTGCAGATGAAGACTTCAAGAATCGCACGAAGAGCATCATCAAGATTGTTTGGCCAGGATGGAGAAGTGACGAGGTATATTATTTTATATTAATAATTATGTCTTATTATAAAAAATATAAAGTGAAGTATTAACAAAATCATTTTAGTTCAATACTCTTATTAAACTCGTTGATGAGTATGTTATTGAAGCAATGGGGTCAAGTGCTTCTCAAATGAAGGAGAGGGTTTTCACCAGTGTGTCCAATACAGCAGTCCCAGATGACATAACCCCCAAATTTCCTCCGTGGGCCCTTAGAGACGGATATTAAATAAACAAAAATTGCCTCTTTCTTTTTATCTATATATTACTTTTCACATACAAAATACTATCAATATATATATCAGAAATATCCGCTCTGTTTTTTTTTGTTAAAGAAAAAGAAATGTAAAAGTTCACTTTATTTATTATTTAAGCATATAGCTTCTTTGGCAATGGAATTATTAGCATTTTGCTAACATTTCTACTTGTCACAATAGTAGCTGTAGCAATCTCTAATAAGATGCGATGTACAGGTATAATGCTATGGTAGCTATCAGGAGAGAATGTGGGCAAACAAAATTCAATACTGTCATCCTAACACAACCTATCAGAGGAAGTACGGAACTACTTGATAAATGCAAATACATGTTGATGATCATGAACCATGCGAGTCAGATGGAGATTGTGCGTGAGTGGAAGTTGAAAGGAGTGTGTAAAAAGATACTGAATTTGTCCAGCAAATCCAAGTATAATGTTTCCATTACTACCAACAAACTTTGCCTGAACAAGTGATCTGCAACTGATTGTACTGTTGTTTGTTTCTCGATAGTGTTGACCAAGAATGTCAATTGACTTGAATTTGATGATTTGATTGTCAAGTGCTGGGTGATTATAGGACATGTCCTGATAGCTGGCAAGGTCTGGGAGGTTGTAAGCAACTTGGTAATATTCAAGTAAATGGAGATAGTCGGAATCATCCATTACTGATGGCTTTTTGTATTTTAGAGGAAATGTAGAAGGAGGAAGAGGCTCGTTACCCTTGGGTAGATTATAAGTATCAGTGTAGTCTTGAACAAATGCTTGCAATCTGAATGGGCAACTGGAGAGAGTAGTGACTGTGGCAGCAGGTATGGAGGCTGTAACAAGTTTAGACAGAGTGTGAATGAAGGGGATCTGACTAGAACTTTTAAGAACAGCATTGCCATAATCACCCTTATACGCATTCTGAACAAAATTTTTTATGTAGGTCGCCTCAAAACCATCTTTGCAATTTGTCTTGAAATTCTTTAAAATATCATTGTATCACTCAAACCCAAAGAGCCAATAACCATACACTGATCCAAAATCACAAATGCATTCGTGAAGATGGAGGTGTAGGTGCATATTGCAAGTGAGAATAGTGGCAGTATAGTCTACGTTACATGCATTGCAAAACTTTTCTAACAGGCTGTGGGCAGTGGTGATCTCATCAAAAGTAATGCTGGGCTTTACGTAGTATCAGCATGTATCAACGAAATACATCCAGTTCTTGAATTGTAATAGGGGGAGAATACCATGCAACAAGACAGGAGAATAAACCAGAACTCATGATTTCCACTTGTCCGCTTTCATGTAGCTGAAGCCCTTTCCAATTTTGGTTGTCAGTGTGGTGTAATCTCTGGGCAGTACTATTGTCTCTGCAATTTTCTTCATCAAAGCAAACTCTTCAGATCCGATTGTCTTCTCATCAATTCACCAATCCATTAATCTTTTAGACATCCCCAGGAAAAGATTATGCATGGGATCAATGATCGTTCCACATACTAGATCAAAGTATCCAAGGCGTTGCAACTGCAACCATTGAACACCATTTTTGACCTCCAGCTGATGCCTTTCTGAGAGTGTACTTGCATTCTTCCTCTCCTCAGCATGCAACCTGCTCTCTGCACTGCTGCGGATATTCCAACAAGAATAATTGAATCCACGGAAATCAACCTGGTTGCTGCTCCCTAATCGAGTAAACTGCCAGCTGCACCTGTAACAAGCACATGTGCTGTTATGCACTGTGAATCCACTTGTCTTTCTGGTGGCTTGGATATCACATGCAACCATCAGTAGTGCAGCACAAACACTGACACTATTTGGGAATTCGTGTGTAGGAATCTGCATGCCAACGTACAGCTGCTTCAAACCATCTACCAAGGGCTCCAAGTAACTATTGATCTCGTCAGTTTTTGGCTCCTTTGGACCAGGCATGAGACCTACAAGGATAATATTCTCTGGCTTGAATCTTTCATCATAGGCCAAGTTGTTGATGGCCAGATAGATAGCACCAGAGGAGTGAGTGACACCATCAAAGGGCTGGAACCAGTCGATGTTAAGTGTTAACATTAGTGAGTGTGGGTCCAACACAAATGATACATCATCCTTGTCCTTCAACTCCTTTCACATCGCACCATCATAAACATCGCACAGAGTATCTACCATCTTCAACTCCTTATTCCATTGACAAATCTTGGTTTCGAAACTAGGGCAATTGAAGAAAACGTTCAATGTATTTTTAATGGATTGATAGACATATTCACGCTTTGCAACCAAGGCACCAGAAGATACGGATTTTGTCAAATTACAGTTGCATGCAGACCTGGCACCAAGTTTTGAGGAAACACATCGAGGAGGAGCAGATACAATATCCTGATATACTGTATGACAGTCTTGGCACACCACAAATTTCTTGATGCCTTTTGTAATAGCAGAAAATCCTGTCATTTTTTGTAAACCGGCAAGACTGATTGGTAATTGAAAATCTTGGTCGTAGATTCTCAGCAGGTTGTTGATAAACTCAATCAAGACAGCAGCACCCTTATCAACAACACAACGTGAAGCAAACAGTACCGTAAAGATGGCTATGAATTGATGGACTTCATTTTCGGGTATATTAGGAGCAGCAAAAGGGTCTGTAAAAAATTAAAAAAAAATTAACACTTGATTTTTCTTTTACTCTCTTTTTCATTTAGTTTTCTTTATGTATCTCACACTGATCTTCACTGTTGAAGTCCTCAATCTCGATCTCATTGACTTCATCTTCAACATTGTCATCAAAATCATTGTTGTCTCTGTCATTGTCAAACATTGAGGCAGCATCCAAAAAAGGTGAGTTGGCCTGACCATTCATTGCTTCCACAGAATTGGAACGAGAGGTCGGGATTACTACAAATATAGAATATAATAGTTTATTACTTTTTTTTCTGCTTTCAAATAAAAAAACTCTTATTCTCAGTATCTACATCCATGTTTCTCATTGTGGCTGTGTTTCATTAAAAGTTTAAAAATAAACAACATAAATAAAAAATAAAAAATAAAAAATTAAAACGATTATTATGCAGCAAACAAAAAACCAACACTGAATATATTATACTATTCTCAAATATTCTGGTACCTTCAACTCTAGCTCTCTTATTACAATGAGTCTCAGTATGCTTTGCAGCATAAGAGGATTTCTGATGACTGTTGTGACATTTAACGCAGTGACAGTCTAAGGTGTGGGTTTGGGTAGAGGGAAACATATTATGTATAGCTTGAATTATAAAATAAAAAAGGAAACAAGTACTACAAATATTTCATTTGATGTGATTTTATAGCAAGCCAAAAAAATATGAATTTTTTAGTGTCTATCTAAACCAATAAAATACGTCAAAAATACACCCCAAACTTAAATAAAAGAAAATGGCTGAGCTGAAAAAAACCCTGAAATTTCCACTACCTTTCTCGTTACTTAAAGCTATAGTATTTTTTTTATTTTTCCAGTAAGTATAACTGTGGCTTGATTTGACGAGTGTTCTGAGGAGAAAGAACAAATTCTTGACTATTTTGTTGTAGATGCCATTGGTCATGCTGCCAGTCCAGAACAGGTTTTGCCTTTTGAAGCCAAGTACAACCGAGAATTAAATCAAACTTTATTGGAAATACATATGCATCAATAATGTCCAGATAGCCATTGAGAGAGAGTGAGAGAGAGGCTTTCTGGTTTGTTGTTGTCAAGTGACTACCAGCAGTTTCCACAGGGCACCCAGAGATTCGTTCAACATTCTTGATTTGGTCAGTAATGCAAGGAGACACATAGTTGGCACTTGCGCCACTGTCAATGAGAACTGAAATATGCTGCCCATTGTGCGTAGCCATATATAGTGGCAGATCTGTATCAATAGCAGAATTTAATTCTTCCAAAAATCGCCAATCCAATGCAAATTCACAATTTTCCTCATTGGGCTCAACAACCGGGGTCTCAGGTGGGACAACAACATAAGGAATAATAGGTTCTTTATTAACTTTATTAAAAGGCTCATTTAATTTACTAGTTTCATGGGAGGGTTTGTTCATAAAACACAGCTGACCTGCCGTTACAGCTGTGTGTGCCAAAAATCCTTCTTTCAACCATGTTGCTCGTCCAACTTCCTAATCGCCTCAATACGATCTCTACAATTCCTGCGGATGTGACCATGCTCACCACACCAGTGACAGGTCACCTCTAGTTGGTTCTGCATGGGACAGCTGTTATACTGGCAGCTTGAAGAGGAACGGTACTGACGAGAACCACCATGCTTGTCTATAGTGTCCAAATCTATGGGGACGATGTTGTTTGACTGGTAGTACTGTTGGGCCACAGGTCTCTCAGCATACATTCCATGAAATCTGGTCTGACGGCCACTCTCATATGCTAATATCATACAAATGGCACTGTCCAGGTTCAGGGGTTGCAGAGTGATGACATGGAAATGGATGTCAGGCTGGAGGCCACGAACAAACCGGTCTGATGCTCCGTCTTCGTTCAATGTGAGGATCTCCAACTGTATGTCATGGAACAGGTTCACATACGTTTCAACCAATATAGTTTTCAACAGGCTTGCAAGACGATCTCTTGCAGAGAGCTGTGTGTGGCAAGGGTGGAACTGGGCGGAAATATGTGACTTGAATATATCCCATTCCTTGGGACATTAGCCTTGCAACTTGAGGCGTTGCCACCAAGTATTGGCTTGTCTTCTTAACACATTCACAGCATAGCTGCATTAGTCTTTGGAGGTCATGCCATAATAAGAAGTGTATCGTTCCACAGAGTACAGCCAACCATCTAGGATGGAGGCCGCGCGTTCACCAAAATAGCAATTGGGTTGCTTTAGGGTCAGTTTAGGTGCAGGTTTCTGTGCTTGCATTGCTTGCTTAAATGCTTTGGCCATAATCTTGACCATTTTGCTATTTTTTTTTGGGAGCAGCCATTCTCTTGATAAAATTATTCGAAATTTCTTCTGCTTGTTTGGACCAAAATGCTTCTTGCTTGGGAGTGTTTTTGAGTCTTAATTCTTCAGGAATATTTTTGACCTTGCAGATAGTCTGGTAGGTCTTGATATATTCTGTGGGTAGTTTTGCTTGTATGCACTCTTCGACTTCAAAGTCTCTTAATTCTCTCTCAGTGAACTCTTGTTGTTCAGTGTCAGAGTTCATGAATTTGGTGAAGATCTTGCTTCAGCTACCTATTGTCGTTTTCGATCTGGGTTGTTCTTCCAATGCTATAACACAGCCAAAATTGGTCAAACCCACTGGGAATCATAAATGAAGATAAAAGAATAAAAAGAGGATAGAAAGATAAATAACTTTTATTGAATGAAATAATGCCCTCTTTTATATATTTTCTAAACCTACTCAGCCATTATAAATGTCTGTTTCAGTTTCTATTCTACTTTTGTTAAGCTATGTGCTTTCTAATTCTTTTGTAAGCAAAAGGAAATCACTTCGGTCGTCGTTCTCAAAAGAGAATTATGTGTAATCGTCATCCTGATTGGCTAACAAGAATTCGAGCACGACATTAACAATAACAAAAATAAATTAGTCTCAGCAAAAACATCGTCGACTGCAGGATTTGAACCTACGCGGGCAGAACCCATGTGATTTCTAGTCACACTCCTTAACCACTCGGACAAATCGACCGTATACAATTGCAATGTGTGTTGCAAGTAAGTAAGGCGTTTTTCATTTTCTGGTGATGGACACTGGACCATGGGTTCCTTCAGTGGTTTGGTCCAGTGGTGAGCCATGATGGGTGGTACCGGACTCGTGGACGTTGATGTTGACAGTGAGTCGACCGAGTGACGTGTCTCGAGGGACAGGAGTGGTCCCCCAAGTTTCTTGGGAAATCTTGTTCCCAATACCCCTTATATTTAAATCCCAATTTTATTCCATTCCTTGAATAATTAGAATACCCATCTACATCATCACCTCAGAAACACCTGTCACCCTCTAAAAATTATACTTTTTTTCCCTAATTTTATACACTTCTTTATCAACAATATTTATTTACAATATTTTTATTACATTTTTATTAGACTTTATTATTATACTTTTATTATATTTTTTACTTTACTTTACTACATCATTATTACATTATTACTTTACTTCTATTCTATCTCACTATACTTTTACTTTATCTTTATTTAATTACTATATTTTTACTATACTTTTATTTTACTCTCTCTATATTTTTCTATTCTACTTCTACTATCAATACCAGTTACATGTAGCAAAATTTTCACTTGACTTTCTTTTCTTTCTCTCAAAAAATTATTTTAACCAAACATTTTTGTTTATAAAAGAAACAATCTTTTTAATTAATAAAATCATCATTCTATTTTTGATCTTATTTATTTTTGTCTGTTATTATCATTATTCTTCATTTATACACAGTGTCTTTGTTCTTGGGAGTGTTGTCTGTCAATCTTGATATATTCCGTTTCTCTGTTTTTTTTTTCTGTCTTTCTCAAACTTTATTGTTGTCACAATTTCCATTTTTATCTTCTCTCTATTTTTTTATCTGTCTGTCATCAATTCTTATCTGTCAAATTATCTATTCTTTTTTATTCTTATTGTATTCTTCTTCTTGTATTTCGTAATTCACATTACATTTATTTGCCAAGTGATACTGTTACAATTCACAACAAACAAACACATCACGCATCACAATTATGATGCATGGTATAATGATTTTGTTGACCTCAGTCCAAAAACCATATTCTACTAAGTTTAGATATTCTTTTGAAAACTTTTTTTTAATTTTTTTTTCAAAATTTTAATTTTTTTTATTTTCACAAAATCGCCTTTCTCCAAAAACCAATTTTCTGATAATTAATATCTTTTCCACTTTAATTTTCCCGAAATAAGTTTCGCCATTTTCTTTTTATTTTTATTTTCTGCACACTAAATGTAATGCTTTCTCTCAAACACTACTTTATCAAAATTGTTAACTGAATAGTTTTTCCTTTTATTTATAACATACTTCTTTCCAATATTTTTTTTTCTTATAGTTATATATTATAACTTCATCTGTTTCTTCTTTCATGATGAAATATTTATATAGTTATTTTTTTTTATATTTATTTACAATTATCTCATTGAGTTTTATCTAGCCTATTTTTGCTATATATTTTATCCATAAAGTAGTATAAATATCTCTCTAAAATCAAGCAATAAACAACTATCAAAAATTTCTGATGCAAGTTTTCTTCAAGACACTGTCTATTATCTCTTATATATCTTGTGAAATTTCTTCCGTCTTATTTATTTTTCTGTCAAGTCTTTGTGAAAGATTGACCATCCCCTTTTATTTTATTATTTTGTCCCGATTTCCTCTTTTATTTATCTCTTAGTAAATTTACTACAGTAAATTTCCCTTTAGTTAAATTTTTTACTCTAGTAAATATTTTCTTTCCCATGGTTAACTCTTTAGAATTAGTATTATTTATTTCACTTCTTTTAGTTTAACTATTTCTCTAATCATTCAAATTATTTATACTCTTACCTTAGTGTTAGTTTCTCTTTTAATTTCTTTAACTGATCTATTTGGTAACAAAGAGACTATTTTATCACCCCAATTTATTCAATATCAAACCCAATTCCTCAATTCTTCTTTTCAATTCCTCTTCTTACATACATTATGGCAGGATGAATGGCAGTTGGGCCAAAAGTAGGCACATAACTGCCATTTTTTTGGTTGAAACCCAATAAAATCTCCGCCGTTTGTTGTAAGATGGTAATGTCATTTGTAGCAATTTAAAAAAGTAACATGAAAACACTTTTTTTGTTGCTGTACAATATTTTCAATACTGTAAAAGATGTTTGTAAGTTGTAATAATCACTTTGAGTATTAAAAAATATGTTTTATTGAATATCAAAGATGTCAACAATTATTAAAATTAATAATTTTTGGAATGTGTGAATGAAATAGTAACATAACTACCATTTTTCTATTTTTTAAACTATGTTCTTTTTTTTAGATATTTTTTTATCTTGATAAATTAGCAATTTGATTTTATTTAAATCGCATAATGGCGTATAGAGCATATAAAGAATGAAGAGAAAAGCATAAGATATATAGAGAATAGAAAAATAACTGGAGTATATAAAGGAGAAAAGAAAGACAGGGCATATAGAGATTAAAAAAAACATAAGAAACAGAGAAAATTAAAAAAAGAATATAAGATACAAAGAGGATATAAAAAATATAAAAGATACAAGGATATAAAGCATATAGAAAAATAAGAAAAAAATAAAAAGGATTATAGAATGGAAAGATTTCCTTTAGTAATGCGCATGTTGTTGTTGAAGATATAATAGAGTACAATTACATAAAACTGGCTTCCATTCGGTGCGTATTGGACCTGACCAACTTGATAACAAATGTCATTTACACTTATAACTGCATAAGTCGGTTGCATTTGGTGGCCTAGTGTATGGGTGCTTTGTGACCGTTGTTTGACGATAGGTACTGATGAGTCATGGCCAGCCGCGTCATGTTCCTTCATGACCTCCATGAAAGCAAGAAAGTGTGGGAAGCCATAGAAATCTACATGCTGAAAGTAGAACTGTACTGTACCAACGAGCCAGCTGTGAACAATTACATTACGGTTGCTAAAATAAATAAATAAATAAAATGTAAGCAACTTTTGATTGTATATCAAAAAATATTATACTTACTTTCTATAGGGGCAAGTAAACATTACGTAATGGTTACCACGGCTGGTCTTATTTTTCTTTCTTTGGTACATGCATGAGAAATATACAGTCGAGTCCATTCACAGACATGCAGTTACAACAACAACAGAGTCACTAAACTCATGGCTGGTCAAGTCTGTTGTTCTCTGATAGTATTTCAATAAAGCTTCCTTCATACTAGGGCCGCCTACACCTTCCACCAAATCATTGTTCAAATTAACAAAGTGATGAAACAGCTCCCACAACTGTGCACCACTAGGATCATTAAGAAGGTCCATGTAGCTCTCTCTTCCATACGGCTTTGGCCAAATGAGGTTGATTTCATCACAGATACTGATTGCCATGCTGATATAATTGTGAATCACAAATCGCTTAACAAGAAAACTGGCGTTTTGGCCACCCTTTGATTTGAACTTTATTAATTTCAAGAAGACGCCAATTACTCTCTTCATTGAGCAAGTGGAGTAGCATTGCAGGGGGTCTTGCTGCTTGATGATATAGGGTATATGGACCAGGTAATGTTGCACTGGTCAGAAAACACCATGAGACAGGATATTATTCTGGACTTGTTGGTATAAAAACAAGCGCCAGTGCTTGACGTATCTATTATTAATATTTAAAAAATAGTAACAATCAGCTATTTGTAATGATAATATATGAGATGTATAATAACTTATGGCTCCATCTCGTCAAGCGATTCTGATGTCAACGTCCATTGCAAGGCAAGTGCTCAACCTTTCACAAGAGATAATAGGGCTGTTTTGGCAGCCCTATTTGGTAAATAAGGCACAACCAAAGTGAGGACAAGGTATAAGAGAAAGTCAAGCCAGTCAACTGCGCGAGTACTATTGATCTTGACAAATACATTGTCGAAACTGCCTTGAAATGAGGTGAGTATATATTTTTGTGAGCTGGTGATACAGTTTCCAATTGTTACAAGATCTGCTCTTAGTATATGAAAAGGGTATTCGGTGGTATTAAGGGTATTGTCTGGATGGGTATAATAAAATTTGGTTTCCTTTGTGAGAGTGATTGTAATCAGGCCATATACGAGCTTTCCAATACCTATTGCAATTAAATGAAGTTTATTTAATGCAAAAAATGATGATCCAGAGAAGGTTGAGAGTTGGGTATATATGCTCAACTGATATATGTTCTTCGACTATTACAAGCAGTTATTTAGTACGAAAAAAAGGTAGCTAATTGAACATTTGTATACTTATAGGGTTGCCTACTTTGAAGTCTTCCAAAGGTCTTAACCAGATGGAAATGTCATCAAAGTACATGCCATGCCATCTGTTAGTAGGGCATTTGCCTTTGGTCTCACAAAAATGACAACCAAATAAACTTGTATGGGAACCAATGTGGGCCATATCAGCTACAGCTGGAATACCACCAGAAGCAAGCAGCAGATAGACCTTGGATCTGCAAAGCTCCACTCCATTGTGCTTGACAATCAAGCCATATGCCTCAAGATCTCACAATTCATTGATGATAGATATAAGAAAGGAGTCCAAATGAGTTGGCTTCTTGGGATCAGGCAAGATTGCCAGTTGCAAAAGGTATTTGTTGGGATGTCTAAGTATTTTATTAGTAACTTTTTTTTTAAAAAAAATGGAATAATAATAATAAATAGTAATAAATAAATTAATTACCTGATGGATGGGTCTAGGTTGAATATTATACAATAGATGATGGTATATGAGTTTTTGCCTTTCTTTTGATTGACAAACCCATTAGTATAAAGCCTAATGGCAATATCATCAGGATTGGAAAACAGGTCCTGCTGCACCAACTGCTTGTAATTGTCACCATCAAAAATGTCAGTTAGCTGACCAGCTAAAGATTTCTGATTTGCTCTGTAACAGAGAAGTTCTCTTGTGGCTAGATCTGCCAACATTTGAGAAAGCATATCTCTGACTGACATAAGTTTCATACTGGCAGCTGGTGTCTGACTTTGATTGGGATCATTCTTGTATTGCGGTTTGCTGCAGTCAACACAAGATTCCTGGTTGTCATTAATGCCATACAATTGACAACCACTAGAGCAGACATCATACTCATGGCCCTTGACACTTGACTTTGACTTGAGCAAAGTATCAACAGTTTTGCCAGGACTGATCTTAGCCCCAGGTTTAAAAAAAAAACAAATGATATCACTACATGTTAGTGATCTGGAATCAAAGTACAAGATAACAGAAAATATAATATTTTACCCATCATTATATCGTCATGGTCTCAGATGACAGTGTTTATAAATTGAACAATATTTCTATATGCTGCTCAGGCAATTCTATGCTGTAGCATCAATTGAGACAGATGAATACTCATCAACTCGGCCTTGGTAAAAGTATTTGTACTGATTTGGCTGCTGTTGTAAATGTGATCTTCACCCTCACTGTCCTCAAAATTACATGCACACTTATATGAAATAGTATTATCAAGCTCCATAGACTCCATAGTATATTCTGTAATACATTATTTAGTAATTGGAAAATAAATAATACAATTACAGCTCTTTTCATTACCTGAATTGCTAACAGATTTATCTTCATTACTAGTATCATTTTTGTCATAGTACATGTCAACATCATCCAGAATAGACTGATCAATTTCAGTCATTGTTGCTGAATCTTCTTTGTGAATTCTCTTGTAGTTTTGCAGCTTCTGGTAGTTATCAAAAAACAAGACACATTGATCACATTGGTATTGCTGTGTAGATATTCTATATCTCTGCTAGCTGGCATTAGAAGAAGATATATTGGTTGGGTTGGTACGTAAGTAATATATAAAATAAAACTGTGAAGAGGATTTTGGTGCTATTCATTAAATGTAAAAGATATCTTTATATACTCTTTATTTTTTAACCAAAATGCTTGCGGCTGTTTTCTCTCTCTCTCTCATAGTGATGATATAGCAATGATTACAGTAATGTTAATGCTATGTGAAACACCTGTCAGTAAATAATTCCTGTGGTTGGAAAGATTGTTCTTCATTAATAATTATGATGTAAGTTAAAATACTTCTTGGTAGACAAGAGGGTACCATTAAAAGAGTACTGGTGAAACAAACACATACTCTTCACTTGTGAGCAATTAGATATTCTTTGGGCTTTATAAAGAGGTATATGTATATTTAGAATAATTAACAATCAAATAATTTATGTTTTTTTTAAATAAATTATCAATTACTCTCTAATACCAAATGCAAAGAAAAACAGCCTTCTAATAATTAAAAGTTATAAAAAAGTAGTACTGTCTAAACGCATTGGTAGAAAAGACATATTTATATTATCTGTGTTGTATTAATAATATTTTTAAGATAGTGAATATATATTTAGCTAATAGTATTATTTTCTTGTTTATGTATAAAACTTAAAGAAATAGATATAGATAATGAGAGCTATAGTCTGATACTCTTTTACTGACATCATCAAGATAAGCACTACTGATCAAAAAGGGTGCTAATTGAAAGTGCCAATGTGAGTTAAAGCACACCTTTTTCAAAAATGTACAGTTTCAGTCAAAAATGTTCCTTGATAAATAATAGTAATGACAGTTAAAATTATTTTTACCTTGGATGACAGCATCAATCAAAACGCGTTTTAGTTGATAATGATAATAAGTATGATATGAACTTGAGTATTATAACATTTACTTTAATGTTGATAAAAAGGGGCTAATTAACTATATGATGTTCAGATGTTATATAGCTACTGTAGAGTATATTTAAAGTTATAATTTTAACTGGTACAGGGTTTTGTCATCAAGAACTTTAATCAAATTTCATGCTATATCTGCAATATGTATAGAGTTATATTGTTATAGCATATACTTTAAAATGCTTAATATGTAGATGATGCAAAGTATGAACATTTATACATATAATATTGATTTAAAGTCTAATTCATTTTATCTTTATATTTCTTACAGTTTTATTGTGGCAACACAAAAAGACTATATCATGTTCACATGAGCTACTGCAGACAGGTGCGGACAGGCACATACAAATGCATAAGCATCCCTTCTTTTATATGTTTTGTTTGTATATCTGTCTGTATCTTTTTTATATAAATAGTTATCAATTGCTTATAATAAATTGTTGTCTTTTTCAAACTCAAATCGCTCTTATTCTACTTGTCTAAACTATCACCTTTTCTTTTCAACTCACTGTTTATAGCTAAAAAAAATTAAGCATATCCAATATTAACATAACTCTCCTCAACTCAATTCAAAAGATTGAGGTTGATCTTGCTGAAATCAAGCAAGCATTATGCAAGCTTCAAAGGCAATTCAGCAATCAATTTGCACCAGCAGTCAGTGCAGAAGATTTAACTACAATGCAACAAAGCATTATTGAGCAGAGTTGTAAGTCATATATATTCTGTGCTTAGATGTTTATTTACTTTATTAATATTGTCATACATTTTTTGTAGCTCTTGAGTGCATTGCTGAGTCTGTGAAAAGAGCTCAGCTCACAGAGTACCCTGATCAGCTTGGTAAGCGAGTAATCAATACTGGTGGCAAGTTCAAAGGAAAAAACGAAGCATAAAAATACAATCTGTTGCTTCAGATTTTTCACGTGCAGGACTGAAAGGCGCGCTGCAAAGAAGTTCCACAAGGGCAGCCTTTGCCCCCATTAGTCCCTCTTTCAGATCATGATTTGACAGTAAAAAGACTGCATCTCAAAACATTAGGCTGTACAGTAAAGCATGATATCATTGACAAAGACTATCCTGCAGTCTCAAAAGAATGGAAGAATATCCCAGAGAAAAACAGGGAATACTATATAATGCATTTGGAGAGGTTGGCAAAGAATGGTGGATTACACATCCACCAATGTAAACGAATGTGGTGTGCAAGAAGCCTTCTTTGGGAAAGCTTCAAGAGCGACAACCAGATGCACAAGAGAAGAATGGCAGAGAAGAATAAAGTAAGTTTATCAATTAACAAATCTATATATTGCAAACTTTAATTAATATTGTTTCCTTTTATTATGCTATAGACACAGCAAGACATAAGTGATTCTTTGCTTTCTTCTCCTGATATGTCAGAAACTGGTGATGTTGAATCGCCCATAATAGCAGATGTACTATAAGTTACCAATGTTGCTTTTTCTCATGTGCTGTTAATACAAAACTAATATAAGCTTCTTACTCTTTTAGATAGGGCTCCTTCACTCACAGCAAGTGTTGAGCCTGCTTGCAAGAGAAGCCAAAGATCGTAGTTTGGCTGCTGTGTTTGGCCAAGTTTGATTTTTTTTAGTCTGTCTTTAGTGCATTTTTTTCTTATCTTGTCATTTTTCTTTTTATGGTTTTTATTCCTTTTTTCTTTCATATAAAAAATTTATTGACCTCTTTCATATGCTTGCTAATATTGTAATTACAAGAATTTGAAGCTAATGTACAGCATCTACAATTCTGTTATATTCAAATATAAAAGAAAATAGTGTATAGCTTTTTTTTTGAGAAAAAAGTTAATAGTAATATTTTTGTACTGATATATTATACTTGGGAGTCGTTCTTTTATATATAAGTATATTGAGTAGAATAAACACTTTGAGCTTTCTAACAAGATGCTCATTCTAGTTATATGAATCAGATTCGAATTAGCTTCATGTTACATGACTTAAATCTTTGCTCAAGTTTTTCTTCTTCTACAATAACAACTTTCTATAGTGCTTATGTTTTATTGCTTTTCTTATATATAGATCTTAAATATTAATACATTCTTTAATATATATACACTGGAAAAAAGGGGGAAATTCCAATGTGCACAGTTATCTGATAACAATGGAAAATGTGAGGCTAATTTTCATCTCAGCAGGGTTTTCTTATGTTTATATTGAAAACATAGTTTTGTTGTATTCTATTATCTTGGATATAACTAGCACAAAGATTATTTATTATTATTATTATAAAGGCCATAGTAAATAAAGTATATGTAGCACTTATTTCCTTTTTCTCTTAATATTCAAAAACAAAACAAAACAAAAAAACACTATGTCCTCAATCCCCCAACTTTACAATGAAAAGTGCTATTGTGCTGAATGTAGTCAGAACAAACTAGACTATAGTTTTGTTGTCAGAAGAACTGCTCAGCACCATAACAAAAGAGCAAGATTAGATGCTATAAGATGTGAAAGTGGTATCTAGTTTGTAGTATTATTGTATTAGATTTTATTTGGTTTTTTTTTGCAGCTTAAAAAAATAACATTCTTTAATAGAATCTTCTTCCCAAAGAAATGCGATGGAGGTCAATGCTGAACGTAGAAAATATTAATTTGAATAAAAATAATAGAGTTTAACTAAGAAACATATTATATATATAGCTATTCCAACCCGTCAATCCGGAACCACAGAAGAGGCATATGGTCAGACCAGCTTACCTGTTTGGGAAGGAGCCCCAATGTCTGACTATGATAATGTCAATAAGTTTAAATTCTCAAAACTGAAAGCAGTCTTGTATTTACTGGACTTCCCAGATTGTTTTTGGTCTGGCACATTCTATTGTTATTATTATTGTTTTTTTTTCAGGTACATCTTTCCCTTTCCCTATACTTTTATCTAAAAATAAAACGTTTACACTCATAATGAGCTCCAACCGCACTAACTTCAGCATCAATGAGATCAATGATGACCACATGATCCGCATTGCACCCAATTACAAGAGTTCTAACCCCAAAGAAACTGAGACTTTTGCTAACGAAGAGGTCTTTTCTTTTTATTTTAAGAACTTGGCCAAAAGACACTCGACCTGGAACATAACCAACACTCATATATCCTGGGCCACCAGCACTGCCAGTCCCAAAGATGTTGTAAAAACTGTGTACTTCGTCTGTAACCACCAGGGTTTGCCCAAGAAGGTCAAACTGGTCGAAGACGCTGGCAATCAGAAAGCCAAAAGGGTTCAAACCGAATCAATTAAGGATGGCTGCAAGGCCAAAATCACTAAGATGACCTTGCAAAATGGTAATGTTGTTGTAGACTACTTGTGGCAGCATGCCACCCATCAGCCTGAGAAAGTTCAGGACATGGTCTGTTCAAGACTACCTGCTGAGGTAAAGCAGTGAATTGTGTTCCATGTGAACAATAACATAGATTGGAAGGTTATCAAGATGCTCCTTTGCATCGATCCTCAGCGCTTAGAAGAGGTATTAAATAGCCTTTCTTTTTATCCAACTTGCTAACTAAATTGTGTTATAGCTTGAAGTTGGTCTTGGCGTTTCCAGTTTCCTGACGTCTCTGCACATCAAGATAATTGATGTGCAGAATGTCATCAATGCTGGTTTGAACAAGCTTTCAAGAAAAAACGCCATTGATAAGGCAAGTGTTGAGCAATAGATCGAGTTCTTGAAAAAAGAAAAGAACTATCTGGTTCACATTGTCTTTCATCAAGGTAATGGGCCATATCTTGCTTCGTGGATCTCTCCTTGGCAGAAGAACATATATTATTTTATTCAACAAAAAGTTATAATATAATATTATTAACTATTAAGCAGATTCTTGAGTCGGCAGACGAGTAGTGCATTGACTCCACTCACAAGACTTGCAAATTCTTGGTGGATTCCAACAAGCACTCATATTTGTATATGATTGTTGTGAGAAGCAACGTTATGGACAAGGGTGTCCCAGTCTGTTTCTTTGTAACTAATGCAGAATTAATCACAACCTTGTCACAATGGCTCAGTTGGGTTAAATCTAACTGTAGCCTGCATGTCAAGTGCGTGATAATTGACTGCAGCCCAGTTGAGATTGGTGCCCTGGAGAAAGTCTTTGGTCAGTCGGTTCAGGTCCTTTTGTGCTACTGGCACATCAAGAGAGCATGGGAGATGCACATCAAAAAAGATGTAAATTATGTTAATATACTCATTCTTAAATTTTACTAATAATTACTTATATTTTACTAATGCTGTAGATAAAAATTACTGGAGCCACCCATGAAAGCAAGAGTGAGTAAGATGCAGTTTGGGTGGTCCTCAACTTACTGATGCATGTCAAGATCAAGGAGGCGTTTTACCAGCAATATGACAAATTTGTTTCCAAGTTTGCAGGTCATGAGAAATTTGTGGCATACTTTGCCACGCACTGGCATGCTAAGCGTGACCTTTGGTCAATGACCTGGAGATTGGTAAAGCTAATACAATTATAATGTTTTATTTATGAACTGTTTTTACTGTTTTTTATTAGGATGCCAGATTTCACACAAACAATCTTATTGAATCCTATCATCATATCTTGAAAGCTTACTACTTGAGAAGATCAAGAAACTTCTGGGTTGACTGGTTGGTTTACATGCTCTCCCAAGTAGTTGAGCATGACTATAAACAAAAGGGTTTTAGATTATATATGGGTTCAAGAAGCTTGTTCTCACTCATGTTGAGAAGGCTAAGAAGAAGAAGACTTTTGACGTTGCTCACAAGGATGTTCTTTGCATGATTGAAACTGTAGAAGACAACTTGGTAAGAGTATATAACTGATAGTGCATTGAGTTTGATCATATTAATATCAATTTTTATTTATTTATTACAGGTGTACAAGTGTCATTCCTTTACTGACAATTCTGTTTGATACGAGCTCTTGGTTAAAGAGGAAGTCCTGTCAGTCTGCTCTTGTCCAGACTCTAATCATTTGTGCAAACATATTTTTTTGGTCTGCAGAATGATGGGACTTCAATACTCTTTAACTAAAGAGCTTCCTATCGTCCAGAACCCAGAAGTTCAGGTAGTTGAGAGAAATGAGGAGAGTGCTGCAGCACAAAATGAGTTGCATTTGCTTGAGCTTGATGAAGTTTCTGAAAGCTTGTTCAAAAAACTTGAACAAGCTTTCAGAAAACAGAAAGCAGAAAACTTGAAGAGTGGTTCTGGGATGGACGTAACATCTCAGGTTTTGAGAGATTGCTTGTCTCTGATGGAAGAAACCGGCGTTGCTTCTCAGCAAAAGTATAAAAAGCAATAAAAAAAATAATAAAATTATTTAAACATACTTTTCTGATATTATTTTATGACTTTTTTAATGGAAACATAGTAATAAAAAAATAAAATTATTGACTTTTGTTTTGATAATCTTGAAAAAAAAATCAAAGTGCTTTGTAAAACTGCTTTTTTTCTGTTTGACTCGGATCTAACAAAGTTTGGCTGTCTATGTGACTGCTCTCAGTTTTGAGAAATTAAAGGTTTTCTGATAATGTTTCAGTTGGGAATGAAGAGATTCACAACAGTAAAAGCGATAGTGATGAGAGTGATAATGCTGAGAAGAGCAGTGGTGATGATGAAAGCAGCAATGGCAAAGAAAGCAAAGATGATGATGAAAATGTTGTTGAGATTGAAGTCGAGGAATTTGTTGATGAAGGTTGGTGCTGTGCTACTAAAAAATTGAAAAATGAAAATCTGAAAAAAGGGGGTGTTAATTTTTTTTGCAATTTTTACACTAGATCCTTTTGTCACCCCCAATATGCCAGAGAACCCAGTGCACAGGTTCATTACTACATTTGTAGTAATGTTTGCTTCCCACTATGTGGTCAACAAGGGTGCTATTGTCTTGATCGAGTTCATCAACAAGCTCTTGACGATTTAAAAGCAGGATTTCCAACTGCTCTTGAGCCTTTCTGGTCTACAGCGCATAACAGGTTTTTCAGCCATGACCAAAGGCGTAAAAAAATTTGTTGTGTTTCAGAATTGCCACAAGGTGTACGAGGAAAGTGTATCTGCTGCTTCTCATTATGATTTTGTGAAGCTTGGTGTGCGCTCATCTTGTGGTTGTCAATTGATGAAATCATTGCCATCGGGTGCTTTGATAGCTAAGCAGTCATATGTGTACCAGTCTATCAAACAGACATTAAAGATGTTTTTCCTTTGGCCAGAGTTCAAAAAAAATCAGACATTGGAACCACAAGTTGAAGATGATGAATACCATATGCGATATCTATGACAGAGCTATGTGGAAGGAGTTAAAAGACAAAGATGGCATGCAATTTACCCAAGATTCACGTTCATTAATGTTAACTATCAACATCGACTGGTTCCAGCCATTCGATAATATATCTCACTCGTCTGGTGCAATTTATATTGCTATCAACAATCTTCCCTGGGACAAATGGTTTAAGCCAGAGAACGTCATTCTGGTTGGACTTATGCCAGGTCCTAAGGAACCAAAGTCTGAAGAGATAAATAACTATCTCAAACCTTTGGTAGATGAGTTGGAGACATTGTACGTGGGAATGAAGATCTCAACCTTTGAATGTCCCAGTGGAGTCAATGTTTGTGTAGCACTGCTGATGGTGGCCTGCGATATTCCAGCTGCTCAGAAAACAAGCGGGTTCACTTCTCACAACAGTATGTGCACCTGCTACAAGTCCAACCACCAGTTCCCTCGTCTGTCATATGAAATCAACATCGATTTCAGTGGATTTGTCTTTTCTCAATGGAATCTTCGTAATGGTGTAGAAAGCAGGTTGCATGCTGAGGAGTGGGAAAGTGCTAGTACCCCCTCAGAAAGGCATCAGCTAGAGGTCGAAAATGGTGTTCAATGGTTGCAGTTGTATTGTCTTGGATACTTTGATCTAGTACGTAGAACGATCATTGATCCCATGCATAATCTTTTCCTGGGAACTTCAAAGAGGATGCTGAATTGGTGGATTGAGAAGAAGAAGATTTCCAAAGACGATCTAGTAACAATGCAGAAGGCAACAGAGACAATGGTAATTTCTGGCGAGTACACTGCTTTGACAAAGAAAATCAGCAAAGGGTTTTTGTACATGAAAGCAGACGGGTGGAAGTCGTGGGTGCTCATTTACTCTCCTGTTTTGTTGAAGGGCGTTCTTCCAAATAATATGTCCAACAACTGGATCGACTACATTGATGCATGTCACCTCTTGATAAAACCAACCATCACTTTCCTTGAACTAAGCAACCCCCACACATTCCTTGAAAGATTCTGTCAGAAATGCGAAACCACGTATCCAACCAAAATCCTTACCTGTAACATGCACCTGCACCTCCATCTTCACGATGTCATTTGTGATTTTGGACCAGTGTAAGATTATTGGCTCTTGGGGTTCGAGAGATTTAACAGTTTGTTAAAAAATATGAAAACAAACAGAAAAATTGAGTTTGAAGAAACCTATATGCAAAAATTTGTTGAAGACATACATAAGAAAGACTATGTCAATGCTGTTCTTCAAGGTCCAAGCCAAGTCTCCTTCCGCCAATTCATTTTTAAACTTATGTCAACACCTATGCCAACCTCTATGTCAATTACTGCCCCTACCATCTGTCAACGTACCTTCCTTCTACAATCCTTTATTGATTATTCTGAAAATGCAGATCTTGTCATCAAAGGCAATGAGTCTCTCCCTCCTTCCGCCTTCCCACTCCTTATAGCAGCATTAACACTAATGAGTAATATTCACTATCTTTATCTCTTGGAATATTATAAGACTGCATACTAAAATCAAGCATTGGTCCATTACAAAGAAGCTTCATCATCACCATACTTTGTTGAAAACCTGATAAATAAGCTTAAATCAGTAAACATTCTTGGCCAGACTTATAAAGACTAGAATGAATCAGAACATCATGGTTCCCTCATTCAAGCCAAATTTTATGGAAGTACAGGCCAGCATGTACTTGCATACACAGGTCAAATTCAGTACCTATTCACACATTCCTTTACCCCACCACCTACCAACAACAACAATCGCCAATTCCGACTTATGCATTATGATCAACATGTTTTCGCTTTCGTCAAATGGTTTATGCCAACTGACAATCATTCTTGTTCACTTGAACATGTTGATATTTGTTATCCTACGTTCTCTCATGACAGCCATCAAAGCATATTGCCAGTGCATAGAATTTTGTTTCAAGTTGCTACAGCTGAGCTTACAATGCATCAAAATGTTAAAAAAATACTAGTTATTCCTTTACCAAAAAAACACTATGCATAGAAATTAATAAAATTTAACTCTCATTTTTAAAGAATCCAAGAGAAAAAGACAATTGTAGCATTCATGTTTCGCAATAAGTTTGTATTTGTTGAAATTATAATGCGAAGGATGAGAGAGAATTTTTTTATTAGAGTTCATCTCTGAAAGCCCACTGGGGAAGAGAGCGCTTCAGTTGACTCGGGACTGCTAAATCTGTATCTCTGCCAAAGGTCTTTTTTACTATCTGGCGCACATTTAGACTCAAGCATCTGAGCATGGCTTTGTCAACATGCCCCAGAAACTGATTGTACTAGATTACAATAAAAATATTATGTTTATTTTACTAAAAGACAATGGATTGCATTTAACATTATTTATAAAAGTATTTACCTCATCGCTTCTTCAGGATGGACGCACTGTACAGATTACATGATTGTCTGAAACTTCAGGTATCTCATCCTCTGACTCACTCTCAGACATTGCTGTCTTGTTGATGAGCCCTTCGCAATTCTTTTCCATCAATATATCAATGTCAACCTTGCATATGCTGTAGGCCAGCTCATGGCAGTCAAAGTTCTAATAACACACATTTATTAATATCACTCAATATTATTATTTCTATCAAAATACAACACAACATACAGTGGTTGCTCGACTTGCTCTTCTTGACCTTGATCTTCCTGCATCAAGGGCTGACGGCAACTTTTGTTCAGCAGAACGTCTTCCACAAAAGTTAGTATAAATACTACCGTGGATTTTGGATGGCCTAAGCCCATCTGCAGCAAACTTTGACTTCAGGTAAGCCATAAGTGCAAGTGTCAGTTCTTTATTAGGGGAACGATTGAAATGAATTTCAGCATTCCAACTGGACTTGCTGTCATTTGCTGCACTCAAAGCTGCATCATTTGATCTGAATTTTGAATCCCTCAACCGGCTTCAGATAAGAGACTATATATTGTGTGAGATAGTATATCAATAAATTACTTGATAGTGCTTTACTCACAAAAAGTCGATTGTAAACTTCTTGGTTAATATCAGAAGAAGTGGCAGTGGGAGCAGAGGTAGGAGCAGAGGCGGGAGCAATCTCAAGAGCATTATCAGAAGTTCCAATAAGAGTATCCAGAACTTCCAAAGCATCAGCATTGCCTTTGACAACGCAGCCAATTTTGAAATCCATATCCTTCAGACTTTGCTGCATTACATCTAATCTAGCAATCAGATCTGCATGTTCTTTTGATGGATGAGGAGCAAGTGTAAGATTGACTTTAGGCATTTTCTATAAATTAATAAAAAAAAACAAATAAGTATGAACTATCTATATTATGATTTAATATTATATATATATACAACATAGTGTTCTTTATATATAAGAGTACTTGTAAAATATGGTCTTTTGTATATATGTAAATGTGATTATATGTTTACATTTGGGTGTAAGTGTGAGTGTGAGTGTGAGTATTTGTAAAAGTGCGAGTGTAGCAAAGAGGCTAATTAATATTTTGAAAGAAAATATATTTATTAACAATAGAGATTGTTTCAAGAATAAATCTAAATTGCTTTCTTACACAAGCTCTGTATAAGATACAATGAAAATATTGCTTTTAGGTTTTATTTCATCACACTCTTTCAGTTTCTCTTGAGGGCAAGCATTTGTTTTGATTTCTTTATTACTTCTTTTGTAATTTTTATTTTTATTTATATTTTTATTTTTATTTTTATTTTTTTCTTCTTTGTCTCATTCTGGCTTGTCTTTCTCTTTTCTTTCTCTTTCCAAGTTTTATTATATTTGGATATTTTAGTAAGTTATATTCTTTTTAAAAAGAGCTTCATCACAGATAATAAATAGGAATATTTATATATTTGGCTGCTATAGACACTTGCTCTATCTTTCTATTCATCGTTTATTATATGTCAGGGTTTCTATGGTAAGGTGGCGTCTCTTTTTTTATAAACCACTAAAAGAAAATACTGATACATTCTATTGCCATAGACACTATCACTCTTTTTATTTCTGATGCATTCTTTTCACAATAACCATCCTGATTAGCAAACATTAATAAGCATTGTCATCTTCTTCTAAAACTTTGCTGACTTTTTTATAGGCCATGTTGCCAAAAACATATACTACCACTATGAACGAAATTTGTGTGGCAGTCCTACTAATTTTTTAGTGATTTGGTGGCCAGCCACACTATGCTTAAGCAGGGTAGATTAGTGGTAAATGAGCTATGTTAGTTACCAATCAATGTAGTTTTGTCACACCAAATTTGGTTAGTGGTTTTGCAACAGATTATAGTGGCTCCCCTACCATAAAACTTAGTGGAAACGTAACCAATTAATGTGGTTTTATGCTAAAAAACAGCATAGCATTTGCTAGTTTAACGTTGATCTCTACCATACCGTGGTGTAGTTTTTTTTACAAAAAAGGAAATTATGGTGTGGTTTTTTATGAAAAAGGAAACAGTAATGTAGTTTTTTTCATTAAAAAATAATTTTAGACAGTAGGTTTTTTTTATTTAAAATAGCAGCATTGGTGTCATTGCTTATTTTCACTTTTTGTAGGAAACTATTGGTAGGCTTATACAGTGTTTTTCTTTGGTTTTTCTATTTTGTTTTGTGTCCAGCAAAGAGGTTGCTAGGATATATGCAATATCCTTGACAATAAGGTGAGACGAGATAGCATTTGGAACAATTATTCTACAGGATAGGATGGAGCAATATTGCTGGGTTAAACTATGCAATAACATTGTTTAATACTCAATACCACAGAATAATAGCAAAAATAAAGAAATATAATAGCACTAATAACTTACATAACTTCAACAAACATAATATAAAAGCATGCTTCTTATAAATCAGTGTTTTTTCTATTGAGTAATAATAACAATAGTTAGCATTTGTAGCTTTAAAAAGAAACCCTTTTCAATATATTTACCTTCAGTCAATCAAAAACAGTAAACCACCCCAAAAAGTTAATAGTTCACAGGAAAGAAACTTGAGGATTCTCAAAACTAAACAAAATAATAATAATATTAGCATACATATAATGTAAAAAAGTTCAATTCTGTTAATTACCTTTCGATCAATATTGTAAATAAAGTACATAAAATTCAAAAAAATACTATTGAAAAACTATATAATTATTAGTACATTTAAAACAGCTCTTTTCCTTTGTACAAAAATATTTATCTGGGTTTACACATCAGATTAAAGGCTGGTTATTGCTGTATCAGAATAGAGATTGCTCATAACTATTTTTGATTATTCAAAAAAAAAGATAAATGACCAAGTCCTATTTAAATGTATATATAGAATACCTTTTTCAGTTATGATGCATCTTGAACTCTTTCTTTCTTATTGTTAATTGCAAAGTCGTATCTAGAGTCTGCTTCCATTAGTTTAAATTTATTTCTGTTTTTTTTAGATCCAGATCAAATGAGTTATTACAAAAGTAAACAATTCAAAATATTTCTAAAAGATTTCAACTTTTATTGGTGTGCTTTTGCTTGGCTGGAATGTGGGTGATGGAAAACATAAGAAAAATAAATACAGTGTTCAGAATTAACTAATGCTACTGATGATGGGGACCAAAAAAAAAGAAGAAACAGAGTAAAATTTTTTATTGCTGTGCACAAATATAATCATGTGGCTTGTGGCCCGTGCTTTTTTTTTACTTTTCTAAGTACGTCTGCTGCGTGTTGGTCTCCTTGGTAGTGTCATGACCACAATTGACTCCTCTTCAGAGATACTGTCATTGGCACTATTTGAAGCAGAGAAATTAGTAATTTCATTACATTATATATTGAAATGAGTCTGTTTGTACCTATTGTCCTGAACTGGCCCAGCCGCTCTCTCCTATGATATTTAAAATCAAATTTATAAAGATACTTGACCTTTGCAAATTATATACAAACCTTTCTTCTTTTTTCTGTTTGGCGTTCAGCCTTCATTACTTCCTGTAAAAGAAGAGAAGCAGCCCATTGATCTTGACATTCGTAAAGTAGGAAGTTATAGTTATTGAAAATTAACTCCTCAAGTCGCAAAGAGTAGTATAACTTTTTCTGAGAATTCAATTTTCCCCAGTTTACTTCCTCAACACCATCATCTTTTATTATATACCAACACTGCCTGGTATACATATAAAACTGCAAGCAAATAAGCTTTTGCTTTAGTGCTGATATATTTACATCTGTCCCTTTTTGTTTTTTTCAAAGGTAGTTAATCTTTGCATTGATTCTTGCAGTGGCACTTGGGGTCTTGTTTGTTCCTTGAGGTATGAACCCCATACGTGCCTCATTCATTGTTGCAGATATATATCTTACGCCCCTGTCATCAGGATGACTTACTAGGTATGTCATTCGTCTTTCGATTGCAGATTGTTTGACAACATCTTTAAATAAAATTTATGAATATTCAAAACAGTTGCTAAACCCATTATTCTTACCTCTATGAACGTTACTAGTTCCGTCTGCGTTAAAAGTCTGTCTTATAAACTGTTGTTGATTAGCAATGTTTTCATCAATTCTAGCAACTGAAGTACGGATATCAGTCAATTCCTCACGAATAACAATTCTAATTGTGTTTAACATATTAATGTCCAATTAGCTATTCATGTTAAGTAGATGGTTTAAAGATTATAAAAGAGAAAGGAAGAAATAAAAAATAATGAAAATAAAGATAGCTAATATATGTTGGGATGGATAAACATATAAAATACGTTAAACCTCAACATCCAATTGATACAGACTTTATGATTAAAGCTATAAGATCGGTTTCTTTTTGCTTTCTATAGAAAATTGAATATTCCTTTCAAAACAAGAAGCAAAAACAAGAAATTAACAAATAAAATATAAACAAAATAATCAATAAAAACTTATATAGATTGCTTATTCCAAAATAAAAGTAGAGCATAACAGAGTTTATATGTTTTCTGATTTATGTTTTAGAACATACCTAAATAAACTTTATTACAATAAGTCATCTTGCAGAAGTATTATTCTTCCAGGAAAATCTAGAGAGATCAATTGTTCTGATACTTCTCAAGTCATATCAATCCAAAAATTCTGGTAAAGAAGACCATTTATGCTATTGGTAATATTTTAGTATCCCGACCAGATACTTGGGTGATGTTTCATAATGTTTATCAATTGTAGTTGTAGTCTCTCAATTAAGTATTCATATAATAAATGAGATATGTAAATGAAATATAACTATACCATAGATATAATGTATGTGTACTTATATATTCTATGCTATTGTAATAATAATAATTAATACAGGATAACTAATAATCAATTATGGGTATGATGATCTGCGCATAGAATAATATCTTAAAGGCATATCCGGCGAAGTGAAATATCTGAGGCTATTTTATTATCCTTCAGTCTTACTTTCAAAGTAAGCAGTAATCAATACTCATTTACAACATCAACAAACCGTGCTTATGAACTCAAAAAAATATAAAAAGGGGAGCTCACAATCTCATTCAAGATTAAAATACCTCTTTTTTTATTTTAACTTTCATATACTACCCTTTTTTCAACCTTACCAATGTCTTATTCAAACAAAAGAACCAGAAGTTCTACTGACTTGTCTTCTTTCAAATGCAATTTCTGTAGCTTGACTTACCCTACTAGCAAGCAACTTCGCAATCACAAGTGTATTCACAAAACAGTCAATGCTCCTGTTGCTAAAGAGAACTTACAAAAACCAGCTGTGTAATCTGCTTCAGCATAAACAAATCTAGAAGATGGTATGTATTTGAAATAATTTAGTACATACTTTCCAAACATAAATATTTATAACCCTAATTATCTGTTACAGTTCCATTTGATCCTTTCCAGTCAAAAACCTTTAAAGCATCTTGCAACTTTGAAGCTGGTGACCAAGGACATGTCTACAACAACAACATCTTTACCAACAATATCTTCACGACATCCGAGCTATTCAGCATCTGTGTGGTATTTCAGGTACAAAACAATAGAAAAATAAAATATTTGAGAATAGAGACGTATAGAAATACTCTGAGACTGTATATAAGTTGTCTTTATTCATAAATAAAAAGTGTCCCTTTTTATAAAAAAACACAATCTGCTCTTGTCATTACGTCTTAGTTTCTTAAGGCTTTCTTCCTTTACTATATTTGGTTATTAGAGTGTATTTACTGCTTAACTAGTGTCGGTGTTACAATTATGACATCAAATCATAAATCGTACTTCTTTAGCTCTTAGCTATTCTTTTCTCTTTTATACTAGAGCTTTAGGACTTCTTACTAAATTAGCTCCATATCGATCTGACACAGTTTACCCGGCAGTATGATATAATTATCTTAACAATCTTTAAGATATTATCTACAGTACTAACTGTAATAATTATTGGGCTGATTACTTAATCATTTATATAAATTTTATACTGACAAGATGATAGCTACTACGCTATCCCAATATGAATATGTTCTTATATGTGATAAATCCAACATCTGAGTGTCTGGATCACCACAATTTGCTTGAATGACCTTGTAACCGATTTTTGGGTTTCTACAGATCTGCATAGTCTACTTGTAGATCTTATGAACATAATCATTTGTGATAATGACAAGCTCAAAGAAGGTATATTCAATTCGAATTTCCTTTAGATATTCTAGAAAGTTTACTAAAATGTTCAAATATTACAATACAACCCAAAAATCTTGCATGCCAGGCCTGTCAGCACACTCATCAAAGGCAAGACTGACCTGAAGTCTTATGAGTATGACATTTGCGAGAATGTTTGCTCGCTTTTTGATATTACCAAGAATGAAGAAGAATGCTCCATTTGCAAGGCCCACAGATACAAGGACATCGATGGTGATTCTTCTTTGGTACCAGTAAATACCATGAAGATGATGTCACTTGGGAACCAACTTGCAAGACTTCTTGGTAATGACAAGAAAAAATTAAAGTTGCAATACAGGGTCAACAGACAATACATTTCAAATGAAATGTCTGATTATGTTGATGGTGAAGAGTACAAGACTCTAAAAGAGGAGCAGCTCTTTGATTCCCCTGATAACATAGCAATTGCTCTGTTTCTTGATGGTTTTGTAAACCAAAAAAAATCGAAACAGCAATTGACTATTGTACATATAATGATGTTAAACTATAACCCTGAAATTAGGTAATAATTAGTGCAAAACATAAAAGAATTGTTTATACATGGGTTCTCTTAGACTTATCTTTTTTTTTGTGTCAAGATATACCAATGAATATCTCATCCAACTTGCGATTATACCTGGAAAGCCCAAAGATCTTGACTCTTTCTTATTGCCTATTATAGACGAAATAAGTAGCTTAGGAAAACATGGGTTGATCATCAAAAAGTTCAATGGCAAGCAGATTAAAGCCAAAGTTCACATGGTTATGGCCTCTGGTGACATTCCTCAAGTGAGTTAAAGAAAAACTAAGGAGAAAAGCAACTCACCATTTTGAGCAAAAATAGGTTACCCAATTTTGTCATTACACAGGTCACATGTCCAACAAAGGTTGCTGAATATGCAAGGTAGAAGGTGTCAGCCCTCCCCATAGTAAAGGGAAATACTACCAAGACTGTTATGCCACTTTGAGAACAAAGGACGACTTTGTTAGAGATAAAAAAGTAAGTATACTATAACAAAAAAAAAGAATTGTATATTAATATAAATTTTATAGGCTACCGGTATTAAAGAGGCAAACATTTTTGCCCAATTGCCCACCTTTAGTGGATTTTGCTTCTATGGACTTGATGAGATGCATTTAATTGGCCATGGAATAGGCAAACTTATGTATAAACTATTTGTACTTTCCAACACTGAATCATTGGAAGCTTACTGGCCAAAGAGTGAAGACAGAAGTCATTTCCTGAAAGAGAGATATACCTTCTCTCTGAAGGAAAGTGATGTTAAGCTGGCAGGTAGACAAATCCAGTATTCTAGATCCAACATACCTGTATCCTTCCAAGGCAGTTGAGATAATATTATTGACAAGAGAGAAGGCATAAGGGCAATTGATTACATTGATATCATTTTGTATGCTGTCCTCACTCTGCTGGTTCCTCTTTTTACAAGACAAACAACTTGAAAGGCACTCCTGGCTCTGGTAAAAGTTTGCTCTATATGTTTGCAGTGGAACTTAAATGAGAATATGATAGTGGAAATGGAAAAGTAAGTTGAAATGAGTTTTGAAACTTTATTATTTGAAAATAATGCTTACTTTCTTTTTTAATAGTGATTTCAATATTTGGCATCAGTTTCTGGATTCTGAGATTACAAAAAAAAGTCTATCAGTCAGAGCCTTCTCTCCTGTAAACCATTACATTATCTATACTGGTCTTATTACAAGAAATATGGGTAATTTAAGGGTATACAGTACCAGATCCATGGAACAAACAATTGGCAGATATTCTAAGTTGATCAAAAGTAAGGTTTTCAGTGGAAAAAACACGGGCAACTTGGTAGAGCGACTAGCAATCCGTGGCTATCTGAACTGCTCAGTAGATTTCAATGAATTAGTGAATCCAATTATACCCACAAGGACATCTCTGGACGACTTCCTGGAACTTTCATCTCTCTCTCCCTACAAGTATGATCATCAACTCTGAAGTCCGTTTGAAACTATACCCTATATACAAGAATTCATCAACATACCTACATTTACCAAGGAATTACAAACCTTTTATACTCAATCTAATTCACAGCAAACCGATCCACAATATACCATGAACACAATCCAGATAGCAGCGCATGCCTTAATTGGTAGCCATATATATAGTTTGGAGATGTACAGAAGAAAGAGATCAGAATTCCGTTGAGGCAATCATTATATAAAATTTTATGCCATATACCAAAAGTAAGTTTTTCATAAAGAAATGTCTTATAAAATGAAGTTTCTAATTACTCTATTTAAATCTTAGCAAAACTCACTGGTTTATTGGGTCTGTTGTTTTTTATTTCTCACATAACATCTCACCTCATGATGAAAACTGCAGGCAGTTTCTCGTGTTGGTAAGTGTTATGAATGATCACTCAGCCACTGACTATGACAATTTCATTCCAGTTGTAACTCTAGATGCAACTTCAATATACCAAAGATTAGTAGTAATTAGCACTGGAGAAATGACCCTGAATACCCTTGTGTGAAGGTTCATGGTTACATGTGGATATTTAGAGCAATTTTTCATCTCAGCATGTTTTTTGGTGTACATGTTTATAAAGTCATGTTGTAATTTTCTATTGGCTCGGATATAATAACCATCCAAGTTATTTTATCATTATATTATTATTATTATAAAGTTTGAACAAATAAAGTAAATGTAACACTTGTTTCCCTTTTATCTTAACATTTATAACAAAATAAACACCATGTCCTCTACTTCTGAACTTTATAATAAGAAGTGCTATTGCACAAAATGCAGCGATAATCAACAAGGCTACAGCTTTGTTTCTACACGAACCCTCCAGCGTCACAATAAAAGAGCAAGATATGAAGACATGGAAAGAAGTGAAAGAAGTATGTTTTGTTTTTCATTTTCATTTTCATTTTGGTTATTTTATATAATGTTTTATTTCAATAGATGTATCTGTTCAAAGAAATCTCATGGATATTGATTTTGAAAGTAAGAAACGTTAATTGTGATAAAAAGAGAAGTAAACTAAAAATTGAATTCTATATGTAGCTACATCAAACCAACAAACCGGACCCATAGAAGCAATGGACGGTCAGACCAACTCGCCTGTTTGGGAAGGAGCCCCAATTTCTGATGATGAGGTTGCTTTTAGCAATGAGTCGAATGGCGAAAGCAGTGATGGTGATGAAAATGACAATGACAAAGAAAGCAATGGCGGTGAAGAAAGTGAAGACAATGAAGAGAATATTGTTGAGATTGAAGTCGAAGAATTCGATACTGAAGGTCAGTCCGTGTTAATTAACTAATAAAAAAAGACCCAAAAAAAATTCAAGGAAAAGAACCAAAAAAGAAAAATCTGAAAAAAGGGGGGGTGTTAATTTTTTTTGTTTTTTTTTTACAATAGATCCTTTTGCCACCCCAAATATGCCTGAAAATCCGGTACACAGGTTCATTGCTACTTTTGTGGTAATGTTTGCTTCCCGCTATGTGGTCAATAAGGGCGCTGTTGTCTTGATCGAATTCATCAACAAGCTCTTGTCGATTTACGAGCAGGATTTCCAATTGCCCGTGAGTCTTTCTGGTCTCCAAAGCATGACAGGATTCTCAGCCATGACAAAAGGGATTAAGAGATTTGTCGTTTGTCAGGATTGCCACAAGGTGTATGAGGAAAGTGTACCTGCTCCTTTGAATTGTGATTTCGTAAAGCTTGGTACACATACCGCCTGTAATTGCAAATTAATGGTCCAATCATTGTCTGGTGATTTGGTTGCAAAGAAGTCTTATGTATATCAGTCTCTCACACGTGCTCTTAAAATTCTTTTCCTCCGTCCCGATTTCGAGCAAAAGATCATGCACTGGAACCAAGAATTCAAGATCACTGATACATTGTGTGATGTTTACGATGGTGAAGCCTGGACTGATTTGAAGGACAATGACAATGAAATTTTTGTTGAGCATCCTCGTTCATTGATGCTGACATTAAACATCGACTGGTTCCAGCCTTTCGATGGTACTAGCTATTCCTGCGGTGCTATCTACCTGGTGATTAACAACCTGCCTAGAAGTGAGCGGTTTAAAGCAGAAAATACAATCCTTGTTGGCCTCATGCCCAGACCAAAAGAGCCAAAATCAGAAGAGATCAATCATTATCTCAAGCCATTAGTCGACGAAATGATACAGCTCTATCTTGGAATACAGATACCCACCTACCAGCAAACAGACGGTGCAACAGTTCATGCAGCCTTATTGATGGTTGCATGCGATATACCTGCTGCCAGAAAGACTAGTGGGTTCACCGCGCACAACAGCACATGCGCCTGTTACAAATGCGACAATCAATTTTCTCGTCTACCAGGCACTTCTTCTGTCGATTTCCGTGGATTTGATTGTGACCAGTGGCGCCATCGAAGTGATAGAGCAAACCGTGTGCATGCTGAGGAGTGGAATAGTGCGAGTACACCCTCAGAAAGGCAGCAGCTGGAGGTCGAATATGGTGTTCGATGGTCGCAGTTGTATCGCCTTGGATACTTTGATCTAGTACGTGGAACGATCATTGATCCCATGCATAATCTTTTTCTGGGAACACCAAAGAGAATGATTGAAACATGGACAACAATGAAAAAAATGAAAAACAATGATCTGCTTGCAATGCAGACAGTTGCAGCAACGATGATATTGCC